TCCATTACACATGGATGTTTGTCACAATACAAAATAAATGTCGCTATACTTATATATTTTATCGCAACTTTGGCCCTGTCCCAAATGGCACACTTCATGTGCACTTGTGGCCTTACAATGGCCACAGTGTGCATGCATGTGTCTATTAAAGTCCACAAGACCGTAGGGTGGCCCATTTGGCATTTTAGGTTTCGGAAGGGTACTTACTAGCATCCTCTTTGCGGCCGATATGCCTTCGATGCACACTTTATCCGAGCCCGCGAGGTTCGCTTCAGACTTCTTCATGACAGTCAAAGCAGCAATTACGTGTGGGCTCGGAGAAAGATCGCAAGGGCTTAGGGGGTTCCATTTGGGACAGGGCCTTTAATGTGGGAAATAGATAATGTACACAACAAATATAGCCTACATTTTTAAATGTAAAAATCTATATATCTCCACATCCTCATGCAACTGATTCAAAACCATTCCTAAAATGCATAACTTTGCAAGGGGTACACTCATTTGAGTGAGGCAGATAGTAAAAAAAAAAAAAAGATAATGAGAGAAAAAAATATCACTTTGATCTCTTTTTTTAATAAATTGTATAAGCTATTCATTTCTTATCATTGCCCACAACAACATCCTGAGACAGGAAGTGTGCCATGTTTCAATCTTACACCCTCCAACGATTCACAGCAAAACATCTCATCACAGACTCCACCCTGAATCCACCATGCAAAAACTCATTCAAACAAAAGAATAAACATACGAAAATCATATAATCAAAATAAATAAATAAATAAATATCCTAGGTTAGGCTGAAGTGAGGTTGCAAATTGCAACCAACAGAAGTTATGGTGGCCGACAGGAAAAGATGTCATCGTCTGAGACGGCAGAGAGTAGCCAGTTAAGCAATGATGTTTCTTTACAAAGATAAATTATGTTTACTTAATTATTCAGTAAAACAAAGTCATTGTGAATATTATTGTTGCTTGTTCATCATTGTGGCAGTGTTTTATTTGCTGACTTTAGCTAGCTTCTAAGCACAAAGAACAACATATTATATTATATATTATGAATATAATATTCAATTTGTCTGAAAGAAAAATTGATTGAAAGAGAATTGAAAGAGATTGATTTTATAAATGGAATGTGTGCAGAAGGGGGCCCAACCTCAAATTCTTTCATAAGGCCCAAAATTGCTAACGGCCCCACTGTCCTTGAGTAACAACTTTTTAGCAAAGCCTGTGTTTTGTTATTGTCACTTTGTATTGAAGATATATTTTGCGGTGCATTACCTTCAAAAATAAAAATAATCCACTGCGTCCTCAGTGGCTTGAATGATGGGAGAAAATGAAGACTTTTGTTCATTCATACATTCAAAAACAGGACACCGGGATTACTTACGAGACATTGTCACTACAGCTGCTTGAGCGCTGAGAAAATGGTGGATTGTGTAGCAGTCCAAGCGTGCCGCAAGCCCTCAAAAAATGAAGCCAAAACGTCTCGATCGCCCCCCAAGGAAACACTCATTGCAGCTGGGGTATTTGATAGACCAAAGGGTATCTTACCCATTCAAATAGGCCCTAAGCCTTAAGGGTTCACAAATGCGGTCAAGTGCCTCGACACTCCAGTCACTATCAGCTGACAGTTAAGCGTTCTTAGCAATTGTGAATTGGTGGAATAAACACTCCGGTCTTGCTGGGTTATCTATTTTTCCAAAATGTTCACATTAGAACAAACACAAAGGTCAAAAAAAAAAAAAGTCACAATAAATAATTATTTATGAAACTTCAGTGTTTCAGTCTCTTTAAAAGACAAATTATAATACAATATTATAAGTGGATCATTGCAATGTGTGATTACAACAACCCCTTCAAACACAGGCAATAAAAAAAGGATTATTATATACATTTATATATATATATATATATATATATAAAGTTACAGGACTAGGACCTTAAATTGAATTGGATGGGTACCGTTACCGTACTAATACTAATAATATGCAATCAGTCTAAGAGAGAGACGCTGAACGGCTCAAGAAATTTAACGAAGCTTGTCAGTTCTCTCTCAAGTAGTGTTTCAGCGACATCTGGTGGTAAAAAGGCGTATAAATACGTATACAAACTCATTGAACAAGGCACTTAGGAAACAACAGATAAAGATACATTTTATTATTCACTTATTTTATTCACCTATTTTAGCAACTCTATTTAATTAAATCTATTAAATCAAATCATATTGCAACTTTGTAAAGGGTTTGAACGTTACATGAGTGAGTAGCTATAGCCTATTTGAAGTTCTGTTTGATATTATTACAAATTAACTTTCAAAATGTTAATATGATCATCAAACTCATTTTAAAGTTAGACAAACCAGCAAATGCCACAAAACATCCCATAATTCAGAGAATCCATTGCTAATACTTACCAATAAAATTAGTCACTGCTGTTTTCCCTCCAAAAATGATGTTCCTGCTGGATGCAAAGGAACTGGCTTTTGTTATTTAAAAAGACATGAACAAAATTTAAATTCTGCAAGACATTTTCTTTTTGGTCTTGTATTTGGGTTAGTGATAATAATTATATTTGGCTTGATATAAAATTAGCCTATTCAGTTAGTTTAAATACATAGGACACAACATGGACATCTTAGGCTAATTTTATATCAAGCCAAATATAATTATTATCACTAACTATCACTATCACTTTAATACAGATAATGAATAAAAAACAAAGATGTGTTTAGGTTTAGTGGCACTAGCTAATTGTTTAAGAATGTAGCCTTCTGCCAAAGATCCATTCAAACCAATCACAGTTGAATGTCTTTTCTGCAGTGATTGAATTTTTCAAGTCAATTAATTTATTTGATTCACAATACCTAATTCTACATCAGGTCAAACGGATTAGTTGACTAATTTATGGCTCAGTCTACTGCTCTTCTCGGCTCTATTAAGCGCATATTTCCGTATCCAAGCAACAGATAAGCTCTTACTTCATGCAATGTTCTCTTTGCAATTAGAGACATAAAACAAGTATTACTCCCTGACGGTATATTTCCATTTTGTTTTTATAAACCATGCCTGAAAGGATAACCATTTCCGTGAAAAGAGAAGTGTTGCGCTCATATAGGCCCACAGAAGCCCATCGGAATTGTTTTCATCCACTTTGACCAAAAGAGGGGGCAAATTCATTTCAAGGGACTGGAATCTGAATCAAAAATTGCAAATCTGTATTTGTGTTATCCAATGAATTAAAAATTGAAGGGAAAGCAAATGTGCATACAACAATTCCGGGGGAAGAGCTTGCAGGTTCACTACCTGATCTACTAACCTGAGACTGCATGCCCGTTGTACGTGGCCCCCCATCCGTTGGCAGAGGCATTCGTGAAAACCACATCATGCCTGGACACCTGGACTAAGGGCACTCCGGCCCGTAGAAAGGCAGGGTCCGACCAAGGACTGAAGGTTTGGCATCAGTACAATGTTGACCCGGGAACGTGCCACTCTGCCACGCCATCTCGGGACTCGATCGTGAAGCCAGCGCTGAAGTGGTCTCATATGCAGCAGGCCGAGCAGCATTACTGCGGCTGCCATATGCCCCAGGAGCCCCTGAAACTGTTTCAGTGGGACCGCTGACCTGCCTCGAAAAGACCTGAGGCAGTTGAGCACTGACTGGACGCGCTCTTCGGTGAGGCGCGCAGTCTGACCGACCGAGTCCTACTCCATACCGAGATAAGAGATCCTCTGTGAGCTGTTACCAGCCAGTCGTCGAGATAGTTGAGAATGTGAACGCCAAGTTCTCTAATGGGAACAATGGCCGCCTCCATGACTTTCAAGAAGATGCGTGGCGACAGGGCCAACCCGAAGGGTAGGACCTTGTACTGATATGCTCGACCCTCGAATGCAAAAAGCTGACCAGGAGGCGAAGAGGCCACCTTGGGATATGGTGAGGTCAGGAACCTGTTCTTGTCCAACTCCTTCATATCCGCCAGGGTGAGTCATAGGTGTCGCTCCTGGACCACAAGAGTGGACATCGCCCGACCCACGGAACGTGCAGTGACTTTTGGTGCCCATAGGGTGAGGTCCGTCGGCGTACGCAGCTCTTGGAGCACCCCAGGGTCGTTACCACTCCCCTGCATGTCACAGATCACCAAGGCCTGGTGGACCTGGAGAAGCACCATGGCATGCAGGGCAGAAGCAGCTGTTCCACACGCACCGGAAGAGAACCTACATGCGCGGGAGGGGAACGAAGGGTTACCCTGCCAGGAGGACGCGGTCTCGGGACACAGTGGACCGTTCCACTGTGGGGATGCCTTCATATCCCTAGACTGCCCCGCCATCGAGAGTGGTGAGGGAGAAGGAGGGAGTCCCAATTCGTGGGAAACTCCTCCTCCGAGACGTAGGCGTTCCCGAACGAAACGGATCGAAAGGCAACAAATTTTAAATTAAAAACGTTTGTCATTTTAAATTGTTAGGTGCACCAAATGAAAATTACACCAATTATGAACCCAAGTTCATTTCATTCTCACAGCAACATGACATGACTTTTGCATAAACATACACGCCAATTTCAACTCAAGTGGCGTGTTATCTCTACGCATTTGCTAGCTATCCGTGTGTATGCGTGTATGTCTACGCCATTAACGTCCGAGTGATTCCGCGTCTATGTACACGCCGTCAAATGTCCAAGCGAAACTAAGCAAAATGTACAGTAGATCTACATCTGGGGAGTGATATTTTTTTTTCCTAGGATGGTAGGGGAACACTCACAAATGCCATTGACCCCAGTGACAGGTAGGTTTAGGGACGGGGTTGAGGTAAGTCATATATTTAGATATACAGTAATAACGTTAAGTCAACGGCGTTCATAAACACGCTGAAAAGCGGTTATGCGTGTTGATGATAGCACGCCAAAAATGGAAATACGAATTGGCGTGTCATACACACGCTATTTCATGAGATCAGTCTGCTCACAGAAAAGACAAAGTGCTCACACCACTTGTGCTGGAGCCCAAAGTATAAAAAAAATCTTTATTGTAAATTCAATTACTCTTCTCTACAGCCAAACCACAAACATATGACGAACATAGAACAGAGCAGAGCTGAACATACCAACACACACACACGCACATTGACACCTACAGTGTGAAACAGTCTACACAACAACATGACAAAACACTTTAAAAACAAAGACAATAAAAAAAAAAGATGAAGTAAAACCACACAACCTCCTATGCGGCTCTGTCATGGCAGAGAAATAGAGTTGGAAAAAAAAGAGAAACTTCACAAATAAAAAAACATCCACTGAGAGGAACAAACCATCGTTTGAGAAAGAACAAGAGACAAGCTTTTAAAAGTGGGCGTCGCAAGTCAGGTTTGCAGCTAATATACAGTAAGCACACAGGAAATGTCTCTTGTGTCAACTTGACAGTTGGGCTTTTTCTTCCATGCGAAAGCTCAGCTGAAATTTGAAGTGAAACTACAGAAAACCAGCAATCAGCCCCTTTGTGCCGATAAAGGTTTTGGGGATGGCAGAAACTGATTTTGGATCAGTCCGTCAGGGCTTTTACTGAGAATCGGACACAGTAACACAGCATTTTGCATTACACAGGCAGACAGAGCCCTCTAGCGTCCTACAGTAATAAAATAGAAATATGTTAACAAAAAATAAATTCATATATAGGCTACTGGATATAGGTACTTTCTTTTCAATTTGTTGGTTATTTATTTATTTATTATTTGTGTTTTACATCAGCTCTACATAATGTCCTGAGTGGGCAAGGCTTTTGTGCAGGTGCACGAGTAGGAGAGAAAAAAACATGCCGGTTGGGAACGAGCTGACATGAAGAAACGCTAACCTATAGGATGGCCAGTTAAGAGCAAGTGTAACCATGACAACAGGTTCTCGTTTTGCACATTCTGAAGAGGAAAACATAAGAACAGATGAGGTCATCATCACCTGTTGAGCTGGAGAGAGAGAGAGAGAGAGAGAGAGAGAGAGAGAGAGACACTGTGATGGCCTGTGTAGTGTAGTGTGAGCCGAGATTGTCAGCAGACCTCTCTCTCCCCAAAGTGTTTCCATCAGTTTTCACGGGACGGATGAGAGTGGGGGTGTGTGCCATTTCCCACATGTGCCGCAGTTTCAATGATGTGAGTGACAGGTTGTGTGCTGCTGGTCTGGATGCGGGTGTAACATGGTTCAGATTAACCACAGACGGTGAGGGGATGGTAAGACCGATTCAGTCTGTCGGTGCTCATGTAGGTGCACCGAACAGCCATGCAACCTTAACACTCTTTAGTGTACAGAAGCAATACATTGCAATTGCCATGGTAACAAAAATGTTGTCGTCTGCAAGAAAGCATTCATTTAAGAGTGCCAAGGATAAGTTTCTTCAGATGCAATAGATATCTGAACACCCCCGGAAAAAAAAAGACAACCATTAAAACCAAAAAATTAAATTTTCCTTACAGTAGTACAGTTCTTTTTAAGGGTTTCACAGACTTGTCCTGCGAAAAGTCAATTTGAAAATAAAAACAACACGCACAAAAAAAACAACAACAACAACAACACACGCACGCACAAAGGAAAAGAGCATGCATCTCTCTCTTTTTTTTCTACAATACTGTTTGGTGGTATTTTATAAGAGGAAGGCTCATAGTATTTAGTTTTCCATTAGTTCCTTTCTCTTCTATAGAAACAAGGGATGGGAAAATAAAGAGGTATGATGATAGGAAAAAACTGATAAAGAAAAATAACCGAAAGTCATGAAGACCCACACTGAGAAACAAATGGGGAAAATACACTAAGAAGAGAAGAAAATGTGACAAAAAAAAACAAAACAAACATTATTCAGCGAGAGAAGTCACAAATGACGAAGGTCAAGAGGTCATGACTGCTGGCCGCTCCACTGGCCCTCCATCGGTCGACGGAGCAGTTCCTCTACATGCCTCGCTACATCCATGGTGTCGTCCAGATCGAAATCGCCATCAGGGTCCAGCATAGGGTCAACACTGAGAGAGAGAGAGAGAGAGAGAGAGAGAGAGAGAGAGAGAGAGAGAGAGAGAGAGAGATTATACTAGTAACTTGCACACAATTCTATAGTATACACCACATTCAAGAAGGTAATTATATTAAATATTTACTATAATAGATGTTATTATCTAGTCCAGGTGACATCAAAAGATATTTTCTGTGCTGGGTCGGAAAAAAAAATGCAGTATTGATTTAAATTTTTTAACGTACTAAACACATAAAGTATTGGAATCATAATTACTTAACTAACAAAAATATTACATGTAAGAAAAATATGGGCCATTTTTTTATTTTGCACAAAGTAAATAAACTACAAAAAACAATGTACATAATCTAATAATAGAAAACTCTCATCATGAGCACAAAACAATACTAGTCATTTAAAAAAAAATTGTCTTCCCTTGCAATCTCTAGATAATTTTCCAAATTATAACTTTGTTTATTATGAAATGCTCTTAATATGCTGATTAATAATGCTAAACAAAAGGTCTAAAGACATCTTAGCTTGTCACACACCTGGTTAAATGGTCGGAGTCATCTGTATAATGGATAAAAATAAGGTAACACTTTTGACTATAAGTAACTTTGCAACTACAAGTCAACTAACTCTCATTAGAGTATCAGTAGACTGTCTGCTTAATATCTGCCAACCCTTTATTATGATGCTCCTCCAACCGACAATCTGCTGACTAGAAGTAACTTTGCAACTACATGTCAGCTTATTCAATCCCTAACCCTACCAGTCTACTAATACTCTACTAACACTCTAGTGAGAGTTATTAGAGATGTAGGTGCAACGTTAGTTATAGTCAAATGAACGTGTTAAAGGGACCATCCAAATAAAGTAGTTGTAATTGCTGCATTCTCATTTTCTGTAGCTTTTTAGCAAAACTTGATTCTTGTGCTTGCTGTGTTTCAGCTACAGCAATCAGAGAGAGAGAGAGAGAGCGCCCCGCGCACTCTCACGTCTTCAAACAACACGAGCGCCGTCTTTCTCTCTCTCCCTCGCGCATATTAATCAAATCAATTGACACGATAGTAAAAGGTTGGAAGACCGCAGTTTCACATGGAACATTTGGGGATTTTTAGAGATAATGAACAACATCTCAATACTAAATTATAAAGGCCGGTCTCATATAGACGCCTGTGCAGCCCGGGCTATTATTTCAAGTTTTACGGTATATCTGTGCACTACTCACATGGGAGCATAGAGTCCATAAGTGTGCTGAGGATTGACAGCTGGAGATGCCGCATGGTCCATGTAGGTGGGGTTTGCTGCAGGGTCGGGGTTAGGTGTCGCAAACCTGTGTCGACAGATAGACAAATAATTAACATCACCTAGTAATTTTGTTTTGTTTGACAATTTGATTAGTTTTAGTACTTCAACTTAAAATGATTTTCAGTTAGTTGCTAAGGGAAAACACTTTGTTTTTCATTATAATATTGAGAAACGAGTTTGAATCCAGTCCGTGTTACAGCATGTAATTGCATTGATACAGCTTCCCATAACATTTCCTGTCATCTTTCTATTCTCTTCCTCAATCAAATGTCAGAAAGCTCAATAAATAATTAACCAAAGACTTTCATTCTATTCAGCTCTAGTGCACAGCTTGCTGCACACACCAGTTGAGTGCTAGCGGTCAGAGGCTAAACCTTGTAAAACGTAGGAGCTTGTTTATTAAATCACTCTCTCAAAATGCTGATGAGAGGAACTGAATTATCTGAGTCTGATGGTGTATAACTCCCTGCTGATTTTGACCGAAGTGTACGGCTTGCTAACAAGCCAGACGGGGTCGTCCACCAGTGGACAAATAAGGCTGCTAATGAGGCTAACAGAGCTAAGTATATTCTGAAGAGTGGAATAAGAGCAGAGTCTCAAGTATCCGTGGCAACCTGTAACTGCCGCTGAGGCAGGCTAGGGCTAATGCAATGTGTGCAATTACATTTACCGCTCTGAGATGACAGGTTAGCTCCAGAATATCAGAGATTTAAAGATCTGTACTGTGGTCAGAAAACACACAGACACAGTGGTGTATATATATATATATATATATATATATATATATATATGTGTGTGTGTGTGTGTGTGTGTACTTACTCTGGCACTACTTGTTTGATCTGTGGTTTGACGTATCCATCCACAGCTTTAGCTAGAGAAAGGGAAAAGATAAACAGATTATTCCTAAACCATAACATAACACTGGCTATATTTACATATGAATACAAATGTGAAAGAGAACACACAGACAAACACACTTGATTACCCAGTGATACACTTTAATTTAAACCCAAGAACATAAACACACACACACTAAATGTTTATTTACCTATCTAAATGGGGACATTCCCTAGATGTAATGGTTTTATACAGTACACACTGTATATTCTCTCCCCTTACACTAACCCTACCCCTAAACTTACCGTATATATTTTGAAAAGGAATCATTTAGTATGATTAAGCTGTTTTTTTTTCATGGGGACGCCAAAATTTTCCCCATAACGCAGCAAATACCTGAACCACACACACACACACACACGGTCTATTTATAATGATGATTTTACTGGCTATATACACAATTAAGCACCTTTGTGCCGATTGTGAGGACTATACTACCTAATTATACTAAATTCACAATCCTTCCTTGTCTTGTGACTTCTGAGTAAGACAGATGTTTTAATGGTATCTCTGATTTAAACTTGCTAAACCGTATTGGTAAGTTTAATTTATTTTCATGAATCGTTTCATTCAGTCTTTTCAAATGAATCTTTTAAAAAATCTTAACTCTCTTAATGTTCTTCGAGTACATATAGTACATACACTACCAATCAAAAGTTAGAGATTGTTGAATTTTTTTCTAGGCTTTTAAAAAAAGTCTCTTAAGCTCACCAAGGCTGCATTTATTTGAAAAAAAAAAAAAAAAAAATACAGCAAAACATTTCTTATTATTCACAATTTTGAAAAGAGTTGTGCTGATTCATATTTTTATGGATCATGATACTTTTTTCTCTGGATTCTTTGATGAACAGAAAGCTCAAAAGAACAGCGTTGATTTTAAATTGTGATCTTTTGTATAAATTATAAATGTCTTTCCTGTCACTCGCATGCATCCTTGCTAAATAAAAGTATTAATTTCTTTAAATAAAAATCATACTGACCCCAAACAATTGAACAATGTATAAATAAATTCAGTAATGTCAAAAAGGATCAAAGTTAATATTTTATTTAAAAATTCTGTCTATAGATAATTTAAGATCAAGCTTACACAGTGGAGGGGTGTAGTATTTGGAGAAGACCTCATCTTTGGGCCGGTCGGGATAGAGGTACAGTAGATGATTCAGGTCACTGATGCGATCTGCCAGGGAGCGGATAGAGAAGTCTTTGGTTGTGTATGGCATAAGATTCCACACCATCCTTTCCCCTGTGAAGAACATACATACACACTCTTTTGTAGAAGCTTTGAAATAGTTTATGTGCATTTAAAGCCACTTTATGGTATTTTTTTAGAATACAGCACATAAAATGGCACTCTTCATTTTTGGTTCCCCAAATAACCCCTCGGTGATCCATTTTGTATGAGAGTTTTCTTTTTTTTTTAATTCCTTTTTTACATTTAAATCCCTTTAATTTTTGTAGTGAGTGTATTATACATCAGAATATTATAAAATGCAGTGGAGGAGCAAAGTAACGGTCCTACCTGCTTTGTTAGGGTTCTCTGCCACCCAGGCTATGGTGATGCCACCGATTTCCGAGTCACTGAAGCGCAACAGGAAGGTTCCGTTGGGTTTGGACATCAGCATGTCCTGAGCTTGCTGTTTATTCACAAAGCCAAGAATTGCTCTGGGAAGTACAAGCACACAAACACACGTGAACACAAAAGCATGCAGAAAAGGGCATTTGCAGAGAGGAAGGCTGTTATCGTGCGTGTACTGTTTAGTTTTATCATGATTTTGTATACAAAGGAATACAAGTTATGGGCGACTGGGGGTTGAACAGGAAAAAGATAAGAAAATAAGAGAGCGAGCAAGATCTTATCAAACTCCTTGATATTTTTATCTTACTCCTTTGTCAATCCATCCATAGTTTAATGGCTTAATAGTTGTAACCAGGACTCTCTCACAATCAGCCTGTTTGCCATGGCAAAGAGCGCTTCATAATGAATATATCCGTTATATATCAATCAAAAAGTAACAAAAGGACCAGAATCCAACAAGAATGTGATGCATTAGATCAGGGATGTCCAAACTCGTTCTTGGAGGGCCACTGCCCGGCAGAGTTTAGCTCCAACTAGCCTCAAAACATCTGTCTGGCAGATTATCCCAAGTAAGACCTTTACAAGCAGATTCAGGTGTGTTTAATTGGGGTTGGAGCTAAACTTTGCAAGACAGTGGCCCTTTAGGAGCAGGACTGGACACCCCTGTGGGGTTATGACCAGTGTTGGGAAAGTTACCCTAAAAAGTAATAAATTACAAGCTAGTGATTACATCTTCAACAGTATAATTGGATTAATGTACTAATTTCTCAGTCTAAAAAATGTATTGCATTACTTATTACTATTTACTTTCTAAATCCCATATCAACCTCGACCAGTTGAACAATACAAGTATGGACATGAAACTTTTAAATCTATCAAATAAATAATATAAAATTCCATAAATTATTCTTGAACTGACAAAGTATTTAAAGAGAGAAGGTTACATTAAAAACATACATTTTAACATTAGATGTTAAATCCACAATGTTTTATATAGAATTGTTTTATAGTCTATCAATACAGTATTTAATGCAATTAAATCAATTTAATGTAATTAAATTATGTAAAAAATAAGACTAATCCCTCACTTTACTTTTTCAAGGGAAAAAGCAATTAAAAAGCAATTAAATGACATACATAAATACAATCAATTTATATTTCAGCCAAAAATCATTAATAATTGTGCCATTTTCTTGCCTGTCAAATAAGCGCTCTTCACATTGAAAGTAAAATATAACCGAAAGAGGAACAAATGTCAGTTATTTCTTCATGTGATTCACTAGGCCAGACAGTGTAAACTGCACAGATCTCAGATGAGTGTGAGAGATGTCTTTGTTATGTGTGGAGAAAAAGCATTCTATTTGATCATTGACTGAGCTACAAAAAGAGATTTTCTTTTTAGGTTGGAGTGTGATGTTTATATTTCTTCATGTTCTCACAGAAGTCATTTCTTACCCATCATTCCAGTGGGGCTTCAGGTGTTTTTTAGTAAGTTCCATGACACCATCAAACCACTGCCAAAATGTGAAGTTCCTGCCTGGTAAACTCTCCTACAGGGACCAGAAGCAAATCGGGTTTTAAATGACTAATATGATATATATATATATATTCTTACAGTATATCAAGTAAATCATGTTGGGAAAAAAAAAAACAACTCAATATATATAATATATAATAATTAACTTACAATATATCAAGTTAAAATAATTATGCAATTGAACATAATTAGAAAAAATCTAATGCAAACTGTTGCCTTTCTTTTTTTTTTTGCCAAATCTAGTTTTGTAGGACTACATCTATACAGTGTGTAAAGATCCAGTGTTAAATAAGACATAGTAGCATGTTGTAGACTAGAACCTCTTAAATGCATGTATAAAGCTTATTTCCTCACAGATACTGAACTGGTGAAATGAAAGTATGAAAAAAACAATCGGCTGAATTTCTGGTACATGTTCCTCAAAAGTGATGTGTTCATTGGAAAATGGACATGGAGTTGACGTGAATCAGACAGTAAACAGCTAGAAGTATGTGCGCTACAGGGTTTGTGAAACGCAGGCATGACTGCTTAAATCAGAGCATGATCCTCTGGTACATGTTCATTATGTTTTTAATCAGTGATCCAAAAGCAAAGTCACATTACTTATAGAGACGAACGCTTCCTGTCTCCATCTCTTTCACTTTAATCACTCTATTTCTCAGAACATGGTGTCCCGTGTCCTGACCGCTTCGGTAGTTAGCATGGCAGACCACACAGAGACACATAAACACAGGGATGCACTGATGTCTCTTGAATGAACAATGGGGTTTAGATGTGAAAATTTGGAATCTAATTTAAACAAATAAATACAATATTTGCTAACACTTTACAATAAGGTTTCATTTGTTAAAGGTACAGTAAGCCATTTCTAAAAAAATAAAATAAAAAAGAATTAAGAAAAAAAGAAAAAGAAAAAATTAAAATCAACACCCAAACAGAAAATATTATGAATATTTGCTGTTTGCAGACAGCAAAAAAAAGCAGCAGAAGAAGAGACGATCAATGTACCAACCCAAAACAAGAATGGCCACTCTCCATTGGCGAGTTCAAATGGCACACAAGAGCTTGCTAGTAGCCTATATGCTGACTTTCCATTCATTTTTGTGACGCGCTCCACTACTTTCACGGAAAGGAAACTCGGGATGAAAGAAAGTGGCACCATTGCGGAAGCGCGAGTGACACCATTGTTTTGGCTTATTATTGGTGTGAATACTAGCATTCAGAATCATAGATTATACTTTTTGGAAGTATGACCAAAATAATAATTTTCACTGAAAATAAAAACATTATTACAAGCTTACTATTTTGAATCGAGCTAAGGCAAGCAGATAGTTTTGAACATTGGCTTGTCATGTATTTGCTCAAATTTATTTTGGATAATTTTTAACACAAAAAAGCTACAGACTGCAGCTTTAACTAATGTTAGTTAACTTTTGCACATCATTTTAACGTTTTTTTTTTTCAAGCGTTTCCACTAATGTTCTCAGATTTTAGGATCCGACTGCATGAAAGCATCAATCATTTGCATGCTTTGAAGATTACTTGGTGTCTATCTGTGCAAGTGTGTGCATAGAGAGTATCGGTGACTTATGCGTAAATAAACAAAGCCATAAACACATAAAATGCCTAAATTCCAAAGGCCTCAGTTGGGAACACTACCCGCTTAATGTAGCAGATCAGCACATGGCCATTTTCAAAGGCAGCCACAGCCTTAGGCCTGCCTGCACATCAAAAGCTCTCCGAACAAACCTCACTTTCTGAATAACCATTAACTATTGCAATAGACGAGAAGCAATGTCAATCTGATTGGCTAACATGCTGCCCGGGTCGGTGTATCACCACTTAAAATGAAGAAAACAAAGCCAGAATGATGAGAGACTAGTTTAGGATCAAGCCATCTGTGAGCACATTGCTCGATAAAGGCAGTGCTGTTGGATAACAGAGTAGCTGATCACAGTCATGGTCAAAATATGTGTTACAAAAGAACTGGCCACGTTGCTTTCAGCTTAACTGAAGCTCATAAAAAAATACTTGTATTGAAGAACAGCTAGATGGGACGCAACTAAACGCAGGGGTTTAGAGATTTGGAGATGCAGGAATTTCGAGATGGTTTCCAAAAACAGCATGGGACATGTAATTATGACTGATTACTGGATGATTAACATTTTGAACCCAATATTGTCAATCAATTTGTCTAATTTGCTTCACCAGTGAAAATAGCTCAAAAGTTTGGGGTCAGTTAATACTTTTTATATACTTGTATAAGTATTGTATACTGTATAACTTTATAAGGATGTATTAAACCGAGTGATATTAAAGCCTTCTACGTACATGGTTACAAAATATTTTTATTTGAAATAAATGCAGTTCTTTTGAATCTTCAATTCATCAAATTATCTTGAAAAAATTATGAATGTATGTAAAATGTAAAAAATAAAATAAAATAAAATCAACTGATAATAATAAGAAATGTTTCTTGAGCACCAAATCAGCATATTTCTGGATCATGTGACACAGGAGAAAATTCAGCTTTGCCATCACAGAAATAAATTGCATTTTAAAATGTATAAATATAAAACTTTGAATTATAATTATAGCCTAAGTGAGCAAAATGTATTTCTTATTTCAAAATGTATGTTACAGACCCTAAACAGTGTTTGTGTGTTTATACGTGTATGTCTTTACATATCTGAACTATAAATATACAATTTGACCTCAGTAAAGCAACAGTCCATTTGTCTTTATCTTACATAGGTTGTTGGCTGTCTATCTATTTTTTTTGTGTGTGTGTGTTTTCTTTGATATGTATTTCCTTATGTATTTTTTTCATTGGTATGGATAGACAAGGAAAACACATTTTACAGAAGAGTTCTGACCTGCTAAACTAATTCAGTACAGTACTGTGGTTGAGATTGAGTTGTGTATTTACCCTGTTAAACTGTGACCAGGTCATGGTCATGTTGCGGTATTCCTCTGGGTTGACGCTGGAGCTGCTGAAGGCTTTCTGAGCGAGGAAGACGAGATTCTCCTCGGACAGACCTCGATTTGACTGCACTTCTGCCTTGTACTTCATATTCAGAGCCTCACACAACTGCGGCCATAACACCTTGTCAGGCACAATAAAGGGCACCCGTCCCTGAGAGAGAATGAAAAATAAAGGACCTTATCAAAAACTTTATTCATCAGTGGGTCACAATCACTTTGGTTTTAATAGATTAATAGAATAAATTAATATAATTTAGAAGGGATGCAATATCCAGTGACAACTGAATTGCAAGAGTATGTCTTTTGATCTGATGCACGTGAAAGTTGTGTTTGTTACATTAGCAACAGTAGACTCCTGTTTGCGTTTTCTTCTAAAATCATTGTTGGTCCAGTTAATTTTTTTTATATTAAAAGAATATACACTACAGCGTCAGTTCCCTGACCCCTAAAAACACTGTAATTTGCACTATGTAAACTGCACTATGTGGACACAGTAAATCATCTGTTAAACAGCCTCCTTGTCGTCGTTATGTCGTCATCATCACTTTTTTTGCTGTTATGAATGTATTCTTGTTTATTATTTATGATTATTACTATTTTTGCTTGTTCATGTAATTTATGATATTTTAACATAAAGTACAGAAAGCTAAATTGTAATGTTGTTGGTTTACATAAACAAAATCATATTGTATGAGTGGGTTGGCTACCATGTCTATAAATAAAGGCTTTAGATTACTTGAAATTGTCGTTAAAAGTGCATAAATGTCCCCACCAATCTCAAAATTAAACATGCCCTTCATTTTCATTAGGAAAAGAACTGTGAAATTTAAAAACAATATAGAGGCAATAGTACATCAACTCCTTCACTCACCATATCCTGCTTGATTTGCATAAGTATCTAACATGTTCTGTACGCATGCCATTCACTGCTGCCCTTAAGAAAAATTTATTAGTGACTCATAATGGTATGATACTAACTAGACATCTCTTGAAAAACCTACTATGAACTACATGTATGCTGCTTTTTTTTTTCTTTTTGTAGTTTGACAGCCACTGGTCACCATTCACTCACTTTTCCTTTTGTATTCCAGACAAGAAAAAGTAATACAGGTTTGGAATGACATGGGGGAAAGTAAATGATGGCAGAATTTCCATTTATGGATGCACTGTTCCTTTAAGGAAAATAAGGGTACGGTAAAGGAATGTTAGTCATATGTCATTAGTCATCCAATCAACACCCACACTATGAAACATGACAGTTTTGTTTGTTTGTTGTGGGGAGTTTGAAATCCTGGTGAGTGGGAGAAAAATTAAATTACGTATGGTTTGAAGAATTAGTCTTGCGTGTTGTCAAGTCAGTGCTGATTTTTGATGTTCAGCACGGTTATAAGTTATAGGGTCTTAATTTATCGCCACATGACCTTGGAATTTATTTCCACTACTTTGTTGTGATGTCCATCACACTTTGTCCCATATCCTGGTTTTTAAGTACTTTGCTTAAGGGCACAATAATGATGGCCTGAACTTTAACCACCACACCAACCAACCAAAGATGCACTGATGTTATCAGGAACTAACCGGTTCAGCAAATGCATTGTCCCATAGAACTGTGGCTGTAGCATTGTTGTCTTGACTTCCATGGACAATTACCACCACAGGCAAAGAGAGAGTCTGTGTGGATGAGAAAAATTAATTAACCAAGTTGAAATTGACTTTATTATACATAATTACTTTAAAAATATTAATTGTACAATAGCGGTAAGGTTTTTGTCTTTTGAAGTAAATAAATTATACTTTTGTTCAGTAAGGATGCATTAAATTGATCAAAAGTGACCGTGAAATCTTTTATATTCTTAAAAAAAACAAACATTTTATTTCAAATAAATGCTGTTTATTAGGTAGCACAAAAGTCAACACTGATAATAATATTTTGTTCTTGCACAGCAAATAAGCTTAAGTATGATTTCAGAAGGATCATGTGACTGAACACTACAGTAATTGCTGCCATTAAAAAAAAATAATCGAAAAGTTTTGAACGGTAATGTTTGTTATATAAATATAACAAATTTAACTGTTGACTTTGTACTGCTAAATATACTAAAACATTAATTTCGACTGAATTAACCAAAAAGCAACTACAGTCAATAAGGCATGTTTGTTAAAAAAACGAATGACAATCTATGTGATTAAAATAGAAATGTCAGAGTAATTATTGTTTCTACATCCCTATATGTGGTTCATAACAGTTCATGAGATATCTCAATCTCACCTTAACCTGAAATACCAGCTCATTTCCGCCAACACTGAACTGTGATTCAAACAAAATGGTAAACTTCTCCTCTGTAACAGACTCCGCTCCTCGGCGGTCTGAACGCCTGATACGCTTCAGAGACTACATGAAAAATGAGAGAGAGAGAAATATAGTCTATTTAAAGGAGTATTCACTTTAAAAAAAAAAAAAAACTTTTGCTGATAATTTACTCACCCCCATGTCATCCAAGATATCCATGTCATTCTTTCTTCAGTCGAAAAGAAATTAAGGTTTTTGATGAAAACATTCCAGGATTTTTCTCCAAATAATTTGAAGCTGCACTGAAACTCTCATTTGGACCTTGAACAGATGAAGATCCATTATATGGAAAAAAATCCTGGAATGTTTTCATCAAAAACCTTAATTTCTTTTCGACTGAAGAAAGAATGACATGGATATCTTGGATGACATGGGGGTGAGTAAATTATCAGCAAAAGTTTTTTTTTTTTTTAAAGTGAATACTCCTTTAACATGAATAAGTCACTTTCACACAAAAGACCCTCCCAAAAATACAAATGTCATTCACAGTATATGAATAAGAATGTAAAATTAGATAACAAATTGTCTAACCAAGTGTTTATAATAAAAACTTAAAGTAAAACATTTAATGTTTTGGTCATCTTTCATTTAAACTTACCCTATTATAAACAAATAAAATATAGTGTACAAAAGTAAGACAGAATTACTTGGGTAACAAGTAATTGTTACACTTTCTGGTTAACAAATGGTTAATAATATATATATATATATATATATATATATATATATATAAATAGAAATAATATAATTTTTTTTTATTGTTTGTCATGGTTTATATGTAACCGAGAGTATAGATCTCTGATCTCTGAAGGCACAGAGTTAATTATGAATAAACTTAAATGGTGGCTTACAGTGTCCTGTGAAACATTCACACACTCCTACAGACATTTTTTCTAAAGTTAGCCTTTAGACGGCCACAGTGCACTCACCATGTTTCTAAAGTGTGCACTGAGGGTGCCTGTGGTCTGGTGGTACTCCATCACACAGTTGTTATTCAAGATCTCCCCACTGCTGTCACTGTTAGACAGACACATATAGAGAAAATTATTCAACACGTAGACGTAAAGATGGAGATAATAATTTTAACCAAGATCAGAGTCCATTGAGAGGCACATGCAGGTAAAAATTGGGTTTGTGCATAAAAATGTGTGTGTGTTCGTAAATGTAGGATGGTGTCTCAGGGTGCCTGATGAAACATGCTTTGTTTTAGCAGCTCCAGACATATTAGACCAATTCATAATGTGTAATCAACAACATTAAAAGGTGTTTTTTACTCACTTTCTGGTGTTTTCATTCTTGAGCAAGGCCTTGGCCTGTTGTTCGCTGATGATGGTGGCTTTGACCTGAGGTGGGTTCATGTGCACGTTGAGTTTCCCACCTACCAGCAAACGCACTGTCGCAGCAAATTTAGTTTGTGTTTTCAGCACCTGAGGAGGCTGCTTTTCGATGATAAAGGTACTGCAGAGAAAACACACACACATATTTACAGTAAATCCTTATCCATAAAACATATGTACATCTACAGGAAGAAACACATCGTGTGATGAAGCCTTCATCTGAATACAGTATGTACACCCTGCCTGCGGGCGAACGACTGCTTGAATAATAAAAAATAAGAACTTATGCCAACTGTATCATACATGGCTAGCAGGATGTCAAACATTGTAGCCTACCTGCTTATCCACTCCACATAGCATCAGAAAACAGACAAGAGCAGCTGGGGCAGCAAAGTGTGTATAATCCTGTTAGCAATCTGTCAGACTGTAATGTAATATAGTAATACGTGTACGATAGTATGCATGCAAAGTACTGTAAGTAAGTAATAGGTAGACGCTGTGAAACTGGAACGTGTATTCATCTTCTCATATCATCAAATCACGTACAGATGACACATTTGTACATTAAAACTGAAGATGTCCTGGCAAGGTCCTTGATTGGTTAACTGGGTTTTGTTGCTACAGAAGGACGTTCTTGCCCGCCAGCCAGTACTTGTGATGTCACGTGCAAAGTATGAATTGCTGATTGCATCAAATTCAAGGCACTGATGTTTGCCTACAGAACTAGACCTATGTGCCATCCCATCCAGAAGCTTGCGTTCTGCAAATGAACGGCACCTTGTGGTGCTATCTCAAAAAGGCATAAAATCACTTTCATGGACCTTCACCTGGACTGTTCCCTGCTGGTGGAATGACCCGTCTAACTCAACCTGAATAGTCTTTAGCCATTTTCAAGAAACTGCTGAAGACGCATCTTTTCCAGCAACATTTGACCTATTAATAGTAACACTTACTATTCTATATCTGTTTAAAATACAAAAAATGAACACCTTGCTAAGTGTACTGTGCTGGACTAAGTGGAGACTGGTCACGGCACTTCCATGTTGCTGTTTTATTGTTTTAGTTTGTTTGCTACAGTTGCTCTCCTAATTTGTAAGTCACTTTGGATAAAAGCGTCTTCTAAATAACTAAATGTGTACAGTATAACCCACTTGGATTAGTCCTGACGCTTTGCGCGAATTATGGGTGTAACTTCCATTAAGCAGTAAACAATCAGTAATCTCGCTCTATGAACGCAATACGCTAAAAAAGTGTCATGAGATGACATTAGTCGACACACCCTTCAACCATCAAACATTAAAATGAAATTTAAAAGTGTAAAAGAATCAACAATTGGGTACTTTCAACCGACCAAAAACAGCTCCAAACGCGCAAGTCTTTGGTTAAAGATCACTGTAGTAGGCAAATGTCTGTATTGTGTAACAAGCCTTAATCAAAAATGTTCATTAAGTTTAGTATTACATGCCACTACTGTATATTAAAGTCATTTTGACAGATTATTAATTTACCTGTGAAAACAAACCTGGAAAGAGACGTGAGGATTTGGGGAGAATAACGAGAGATTCTTCGTGCATTCCAGTCAATTATTAATGGAATATCGTAAATTAAATTCGGGAGAACAGACCAAATGTGCTGTATATGTTGTCCTTTTTCATACTTTTACAGCGGATTGCAAAGGAAAAAATAAAAATCATCATGAACAAATGAAAGCAGCGACTGAGGAGCTCTTGTCATAGATATTCTTGTTATAACATGTCATGTTAAAATACCTAGTATAGTGTTATTCTCATGATGTCTGAAAATAAATCATGAAGGAAAATTGACAGCTCATCCAGTCAAACTGACGGATCAGCTTTATTTGTAAGGCAACCTTATGATTTGAAATGATTTGTTTCAGCCTTTTTGAATGGAATTTCCCCAAAACGGAAGTGCCGCCCAGAATTCAAAACGCAGTGAGGTCGTCGGGAATAAGGTGGATACTGAGTGAAAAAATAAACACAAACAGAAAACCGAAAAGAAACCAATGTATGACTTTGAATGTGATTGGCATGTCACCACCATGGCAACTAATATAATGCTTTCAAATGCATTGTGATGTCAACACTTAAATGGTAGCAATGCCTAGAAAGAGTGCATATAAAAAAATGCATGATGTTGATTTCAGTGTGGAAATTGGTTTTGTTACTCCATTTTGCAATTACTTAACTGTAACTGAACTGCTACTCTCTCTCAAACATACACACACACACACCCACCTGGTGACTAAAGCTGAGATGATGTCCGTGATGGTGCTGTTGAGTTCGGTCAGCAGCTCTTCGATGGGGCCAGGAATGGGCAGCTGCTGTCTCAGATGCTCCGCCCTCCGGATCTGTTGACGATTCTGCCAAATGGTTTCTGCTAGCTTCTCACACCTGTGCACATGCACACAAGCAGAAGTGTGTAACGAAAACATGAATGAACATGAAACACGTGTAATGTAAATGCAAAGTGTTTAGGTTAATCTGTAGTAATTATAATTAACTTTAGCTTTAAAACACAATAGAGGTCTATCATACATCCTAAGTAAATGTGTGCGCACCATGACTGCAGTATGTCCAGTCCTCCCTCAGGCGGCCCGCCGTTTCCAGCCAGCTGTTGACGTCTCTTCCACTGTATCAGCTCGTCATCAAGAATCACCGTCTGCTGTTTCCGTAGCAATGCCAATGTCTTCTGGTGTTTCTCTGCCAAACCCTGAGCACACACACACACACACTAGCTCATATGATATCACATGAACAGATGTGTGAACATAATGCATGTACTGTCCTCATGTAAATGACAATGACACCTCGAAAATCCTATAATAATAACAATCTGCCATGCAACGTGCACACCTGCTCTTAAAGGGTATGTTGCATGATGCTTTGATTGGTTTATATCACGTTACGCCCAAACCACACCTACGAATAATGAAGTTACTTCAGACCAACCCCTTTTATTTTTTCCCGCCGGTAAAATAGCAACACCGTCCAAGACCCCGCCAACAAAGTTACTTGATAGTTACGTTTCAGATCGTTAAAATAGAGCCCATAATGGTAAACAGTAACTTTATTATTAATGTGTTCCTCTTTTTACCGGGTTAGCCAATTAAAACAGGCGTAATTTAAATGCCTTAAAGTTGTGATTAAACAAAAGTAACATCATTTTCTTCTGTATTGATGTATACCCAAGTAAAATTGATAATCGAAGATCATTTTCTTTTGATAAATAGAATTTATTGGTAATAGAATTCTTGATGTCTTACCGTACCTTTTTTATTAATTGAATGCATTCTTGCTCAATAAAAGTTTTAATTTCTTTAAAAAAAAGTGCTATAAATGTTTAAGACGTGGCTCTTAAAAGCATGTGCTACTAATGTTGTATTATGCTAATGCTATACACACAATATTCATTCCAAGCATGTATGTGCGAGTACCAGTCTGTATTTCTGAAGGGTGTTGGCCTCTCGGGTCAGCCAGGCCTCCACTGTGGCTCTCTTGCTGAGCAGGCTGGGCTCTCGTAGCTGTCGGTCTGCTGGAGGCAGCGTAGCCAGGCTTGATAACTGAGCTGCACAAAGCAGATGAATATTCAGTCCACATATTAGTTTTTCACAAAATATTCAGGTTTTTTTTTCCCCTGAGCTGTCATTTTCAGTTGTTTTTATAGCAATTATCTTTACAAATAATGCTTATTTATAAATTATTAGAGGTCTAAATTCAGACTTGATTTGTAAGTCAATGGTATTCTCAGGAATTGTGTGAACATACAGACTGTTCTAATGAGGACATTTTTTCTGTATGATGAGTTGAATCATAAAATAGTCTGTCTGTGCATATGACTGTATGGTTATGTGTGTGTGTGTCCTGTAGCTCAAACAGTAAAGCATGGCTCTTGCAATGGCAAAGTTTGATTTACAGGGAATACATGAACTGATGAATAATATATTTTGAATGCAAGGATAACAGCGTTTGCTGAATGTATAAATGTTCATGTGTGTGGACGTATACCCTGTATTCTGAGGCTCTCCTGGTATTGTATAATGAAGTACTCTTGGTTGTGCTGTAGTTTTCTGAGATCATTCTCGGTGTCCTGGGTCAATATTCTGAGCTCTTCAAACACCTGGTTTATCTGATGGTACTTCTGCGACATGCTGTCCATCACCCCGCCCACCGGTGAGCTTGACTGCCAATCACAGACACATATGAGTGACAACCAACCTTTTTCAACGTTCAGTTTCACTAAAATTATAACAGAATATTTCAGAAAAGCATAGAAGCATGATATAATTCAACTTTTTGTATATTTTAGTTTTGATAAACTAGCAGGATGAAGAAAGTTTGAGGGTACTTTTAAAAAAACCTGATCAACGGTTCTTCTACGAAAATCCCACAAACCAAAGCTTCAATATGTATACTGTCCTTATCATCTCTGTCCTATTGTTTATGAATAACCCACGCAGGTGAGGTTATTCCTCTATGCCCACGTAAGACTGGGTGCATGTATATGTGTGTTTGAGGAAACTACATTGTTTGTGTAGTGCACATGGTATGTAAACATAAATATTATGCATTGAGTGGATCTACATGTGTGCCTAAGAACATAAGTGGGCATTTTCATGTGTATGTGAGCCTCTAGATTTACTGATTTTGTCTTTAGTTTTATGATTTTATGGGGCGTAAAATCTGGAAATTCTTCTTTTACTCTCACAAAACTGAGTACTTTCTTGGCAGGTATCATGAATTTGTCTGTAGATTAGTATGTGCATATTTAGCTATGTATGTTCATCTACATATGCGAAATGCAAATTCTATTTCTGAAGATTGTAAAAGTCAGTTTCATTTACAGCGGCCCTGTTTATTACTCAGTGAAGAAGACAACATAGTTCTCTCTTTTTATAAATGATAGAAACCATTTTTCATGGCTTGTTCAAACAAAGTGTTTATAAATCAGTCGAATGTGGAGAGAACCCTGGAAGTAAAATTATGAGGTCTGTAAAATGTTGGAATCATATGTTATGGAACAATTCACAGACCTGGGTTCCCACACATTTTGACCAATGCAATTCTGTGTATTTTTCCATGATTTTTCCAGTCGTTCATGATTAATATTGTAAATTAAAAAAAAAATCTATATAGACATAATTTTTAGGGTAGATTTCAATGTTCATATCAGGTATCAATTCTTGAAATTAACAGACTTATTCCTAACTACACTTATCTGTGTAATAAAAACACAATAAATAGACTATACCGTTTTAAAGTTCAAGGCCAATAATTTTTTTTAAATGAATTATTACTTTTATTCATCAAGGGCACGTTAAATTGATAAACAGTAACAGTGAAAATAAAGACTTTCATGTTGTTACTAAAAAATCTATTTCAAATAAATGTGTTCTTTGGATCTTTCTATTCATGAAAGAATCCAGAAAAATGTATCACAGTTTCAACAAAAATATTAAGCAGCACAACAGTTTTTAACAATGATAATAATAAGAAATGCTTCTTAAGCATCAAATCAGTTTATTAGAATGATTTCTGAAGGCTCATGTGATACACTTTACAGTATATTAACATAGAAAACAGTTATTTTAAATTGTAGAAGTCTCTTCTGCTCACCAAATCTGCATGTATTATATATATATATATATATATATATATATACACACACAAAATAAAGATAAAGAATGCATACAGTTAATTTTCAATCACCCGTTATTTCATATGAACTGTCCTAATAAACCGCCTACTCTGTCCACTCACATTAGTCGCCTCTCTGACGAGTCTTTGCTCCGTGTACAGGATGTGTTTGATGCATCTCACCAACTCCAGGGGACAGCGGTCATATGTGCTCTGAAAACACACACCGAGTCAGAATTAGAAGAAAATAAACACAAAATCACACCTCCATCTACTCAGTCTTGTTTACATTAACACACTCAAGTACACAGTGCAACACTAATGACAGTAAACACTGCAGCTGCACTTTCCTGACTGGCCTGTTCTTAATAATGGCTTTATCACCATCCACTGATATACTGTACGTCAACAACTCTCATTTATTTTTAAATTTTTTCTATCTATAGTCTCTAATTTTATTTCTCTAAATATCCTTTAAGACAAACGTCTTAAACATATAAAAGACTTCTGTGTGAGTCTGTATGTTTTTCAATGTGTGTGTCTAAACATTAATTTAGGAGCTTTTGAATGTGTGAAAATCAAAAGGAAAATGTTTTTTTTAAACTCATCAGTCCTGAACTGTACTCGCAAACAAAGAACAAGCAGAACCTTCAGCTGTGAAGCATAATGTCCTAATTTGATCTTGAGTAAGAAGCCGTCCTCTCCCACTTGATGCTCTGCTTTCTTCTGTAGTTCCTGGATCAGGTTGTCCAATAAACGCTTGGCTTTAATCTCTTCTTGAGGGTTCTCTAAATCTATCGCATCCCTGACGGAGGACAAACAGACACAGTAAATAACAGTGATGTAATAAAAAAAAAGTCAAAATCTGCAAACCAGTTGCAGTTCAAATGAACTCAGCCAAACACTTCTCATACCAGAGTTGTCCCTCTATCCACTGGGACAGGTAGTGTCGCACCTCTATGGGGAAGTGTTGCCCATATAGAGACTGCATCTGGTGCAGAGCATCTCCCTGCAGCTGCTGGGCCTGGATCCACACTGCCATTTTCACTCTGACAGAGACAGGTGGTGTACAACAAACAAGTGGTCACATTTAGGTCACACTTCACCCCAAAAATTTAAATAAAGTAATGAGAAGTATATTTAAGATCATTTAATATATTTATTACACAGCTCTGTGGAATACTTGATTCTGATTGGTCAATCGCACCATCCAGCAGTGTGTTATTCCCAGAGAACGACCACTCAGAATAGATAACGCAGACTAATTCGTGTTACTGAAGTGAGCAGCGCTATACGTTGCTAGGAAAGTGTTTTTCTTCGTGGAAGTTTTGCATTTGGTGAGCTATTAAAATATTAAAACTCAGTCGAATCAATGTTTTTGTGTACAGTTATTTAATTATGCCATCCAGTATCGTGGACTCATACAAACACATGTGACTATTGTTTTGTACACTGTTGGATTATGAGATACAAACGGGTACGATTTTAAAACAATTTAATCTTAAATCAATATATCTCATCCCCATAATTATTTATGTGGCGACACGCTGTGTAAAAAAGTGATAAGAATGACTGTATAACGTTTAGTTTGAACTTGCAACTGCTTTCTGCGTTTAAAGACCTAATAAAATATTTCAACACAGATCAATATTTCGTGTCTAATTATGTACTTATGGGGCAATAAGCAGGATAATGTACATCCAGCTGGTGGTTCTCTCAAAATAACCCACTTCAGGTGATCAAACTGTCCTCCGCTTCGAGGTCCTCATCATCCTGTCAGTTTTGAGAGAACCACCAGCTGGATGTACATCATCCCATACATTTATATTTTTTAATTGTGACATTATTATAATGACAATTAAGCAACTAAGCAATTTGTCATTACTGTAATGCTGTAAATACTGTATTTGTACATCCACGTCATGACCCCTTTAATTAAAAACACACTACCATTCAAAAGTTTAAAGTTTGTAGTAATTTTGTGAAATATTAATACATTAAATAACTGTTTTCTATTTTATATATTTTAAAATGTATGCATTTCTGTGATGGTAAAGATATTTTTTAAAAAAAAATGTGAAAATATGTATTATAAAAAAAAGCTCATATGAACAAAATCCAGATCCACTTTCATGTCATGATGAGAATGCGAGCTAAAATGTGTGCTTTATTGTAATTAAAATAATCTACCAATCCAAATAAAAAATAAATAAAAGTAAAATAAATTTGATAAAGTCATATAATAGCATTATAATGATTATTAATCTTCATATATTAGTTTTTACTTTTCATTTAAAAAAGTGAAAATGAAACTGTAATCTTATCAAAATTGGTTGGGTCCCTGGACTTCAGTTTGAAAAACCTCTGCTCGGAGGTTGCTGTGGTCTTCAAAGAACACAAACATGTAAGACAAAGCAGCAATTCAAATAAGCCAAGTGAGAAACCGTTGCATTTGATTAGCTTGAGCTGTCACCTATGGGCATAGCTTCAAATCAAAACGGAAGTAACTTGTAAGAGAAGAGAGTTCACAGCCCGCCTCTTCCTGTCCAACACATTGCATGTGTTTGTGTGTTTCGCATACGTGTGTGTTTCCAAGCAGTGCAACCACACAGACTGTATGAAAGACATGTATTGAAAGCTGAACACCTACACAGAGACACACAAACCACAGATTTCCAGTCAGCTTGCCACACATGCGAATACTACACTTATAAAGAAGGCAGACACAAAACCACTCATTGCCAGTCAACTAACCACAAAGACAAACATTTGATTCCGGTTGATGTGATGGATTAAGAAGACTGATGTTCAATGTGATTTTGGATGGTTGCTGCTGCTGAAATCAGGTCAGATGTCTTTCTGATCTTATGAAGCATTCCTGACCCCGACAGCTCACTGTACCCATTAACACTTCCTCTCACACCTCACATTTGGCGTGCTCTCTTCGCCACTCATTCAATCCTATTAGATATTTGTTGGCTGCTGATAGGCCTACACTCTTAAAAATAAAAGTTGCAAAGGGGGGTTTTCACAGAGATGCCTAAGAAGAACCATTTTTGGTTCCCCTAATCTTTCAATGAAAAATCTTGAAAGAACCTTTTTTTATTATTAGTGTGAAGAACATTTTAATAATCTAAAGGGGTGTCCAATCCAATCCTGTTCCTGCAGAGTTTAGCTCCAGCCACAATTAAACCAAAGAATCAAGGCATACTAGAAACTTCCAGACAGTGGCCCTCCAGGAACGAGTTTGGACATCTCTGATCTAAAGAACATTTTTCACTATATGAAGAACCTTTTGACAATTGAAAGGTTTCATTGTGGATGTTAAAGGTTCTTCAAGGAACCATCAATGCCAATAAAGATGCTTTTTTTTGTATTGGAGTGTTTTTGTAAGAGTGTATTGGATGTTGTTGTTTACACATATTTGAGCATTCAGATAATCATCCTGTAGCACTAACCTAAAGGAATAGCAATAGATTATGGCAAAGATTCAACCCTTTAGAGCATGGCAACTATGTAAAAAATAAAATAAAAAAATAAAAAAAACAGAAATGTTTTTTTCTTTGTACAATGACATGTTGACACGGATCCGAGAAAAAGACTAAAATCGCTGTATTATGCAAGCCAGGTCAGTAGTTGGTGATGTCACGTGTTGCGTACATACAGTAAGCATTGATTCCTACAGAGCACTTGTGGCAGATGGGAATGCTTATAGACTGAACATGTAAAATGCACATGCATGATGTCACCGTTTTTTTTTTTTGTTTACCCGGAGACGATAACAGTTCGAAACCTTGCGCTACATGAAACTGTTTTTAAGTTTGTGTTTTCAGAATTACAAATTAAATTACAATTCCCACATCTTTGATCATCGTGTCACATAACGCAGCGTCTTACATTTGCACACAGAATGTGACCACACATGTAGTCCTAAGGCCAGAGCTTTGTGACGATAAGCGCCAAACAAGGTTTTCAGTGCAGCTGTGAACATCATACATAATACATCTGAAGAAGCCATTTTACATGAAGATGCTCTTCTGCTAGACTTCTCATCTGCATTTAACTACAGTATCTAGTTCCCTTGAGGCTAAAGCACAGATCAAACTGTGATTCCATCCCATTGTGGATTCTGGACTTTCTCTCCAGCTGAGAGTATGTTAAAATAAACAGAAACTACTGTCTCAAGCTTGTTTATTTGTACTAGGGCTCCTCGAGGAACTGCAATCCTCCCAGTGCTATTGTCCATAAGTACACATAAGGATTCAAATAAGAACTTTTACATTGTAGATGATACAGCTCTGGTAGACCTATCCTGAATATCTGAGGCCAGTTGCATGAAACCGGTTTTATTTCCTACACAGGGGTGCATTTCACAAAGCCAACTGTGGTTGCAAGTTCTGTCGTTATCTACAAAATGCAACAGAACTTGCAAACACAGTTGGATAATGATTTTAGGAAAAGGCCAGGCAAGTTTAGATTAGAGTGAGCAAACTCTGTTTTTTCCGGGCCCAAGAAGGTGGATTGTTTTTAATTGGCTAATGGCTAAACTTCTCAAACTCTCGCAGGTTTTATTCGGTTAGAGTTCGCAAACCAAAACGAACCAGCTGTGAGCAAAGTGACATAAATCTGATGCAAAAGGTCACTCCCCCCTCATATCTCTCACCCCATATTTAATCAGTTTAGTGGAAATCTTTTGCTGCCATTTATTTTATTTACATTATTATGTATAATTCATTTAATATATCTATATAATAATTATATTAATTGTAAATTAATATTAAACTTTGCATTTAAATCACATTTAAATGCACAATCACATTACAGCCTTGACATCACTGAATTTCATTCAGAGTTGTGCGTGCAGATAGAAAGTGGTACAGTATAGAGTCCTGGTAAAGTAAAATCTCATTGGTTGAAAGTTCCACAACACAGAGCTTTATATTAAACATCAAATCTATTCTGATTGTCTGCAACTGTGTTGCATCTCATGGTTTCATGTTCATCGTGGACAAACAAATTGCTTGCCACTGTAAATTCTGGTCAGGGAACAGTGTTAGTAAACATTGAGGTAAATTTTAATATCAGTACATTTATAATATGAACAACATCTACAGCATTATTTAGGTCTATTTAGGTATCAAAAATTCCCAAACAGTTCAGGTCAGTGGGTTCAAAAAGTAAACTAGCAAAAAATATGAAAAAAACAGCAACATTAATTTTGTTGCTCAAACAGAGTGAAACATTTAAATAAATCATTTATAGTAAAAACTTAAGCTGTGTATAAAGCTGTGTGGCCTTCCTTGGCCTCAGGACCTTTATGACCTCTTAGTTGTGGAGGAGGCTAAGAAAATAAAAATACACACACAGTACACTTCTCAAATACATTGAACCTCCACCTTCAGGGAGGAGGTAGTTAATTTCTCCTCTCAGTAAAAACTAATTCCAAAGGCATTTTTTCATTCCCGTAGCAGTAAGCCTTTAGATAAAGACAATGCCTGACTCTATGGGGGGATGCGCACCATGGGGGAGTGCATATTGTCAGTCTCTGATTTACTATGACTTAATTATGATTTATCAAAAGCCAAAAGCCAATGTGCAAAAATTGTATGGTATTTTATGTATTTTATTTAAAAGAACACTATTTTTAACAATAATGAAAGTTAGTAGGTGTAAAGTTAACTATAGTCAACAGAATGTGTTAAAGATGCAGTATGCAATATTGACAGCTAGCAGTTCAAATGGGTACTGCCGTCCAAATTCAAAATATTGGAGATTGTTGTTTCCCCGCCACCTCCTCCTCAGACTCGACACTCACGCTCACTCATTGCTAATTTCACACAGGTTGCGCAATTGTTAGTTAATTAGTTGAATATAGTTGATTCATAAGTTGTTAATATGCCTCTGGACATTTCAGATGGATGCCAAGGCTTTTTAGGTCAGGTAAAATCATTGTTTGCTGACGTCCATGGCTAAAATATGCTGTGTTTTCCACTAGCTGGCAACCCGGGGTGTCGAAATACTATTGGGTGAACTGGTAGTGGGCAAGATCACACAGACCAGAACAAAAGCAGACATTCCGTCACGGAACTCATATTTCAAGTAAAGGATGATGTACATCCAGCCAGTTGTTCTCTCAAAATAAACCCAGAGAGGGTGATGAGGGCTCCGATGCTACGCGAAGCTAGATGTACATTATCCGGCTTATAACACGGCTACTTGCCACATAAGTAAATAATTAGAAACTAAATATTGATTTGAGTGTAAATATTTTATCAGGTCTTCAAACGCTAAGCTTCCGCAAAGAGAGCAGTTGCAAGTTCAAACTAGACGGACATTTAAGAGATACGGTTTACAGTCATACAGCTTTTATTACACAGCATTTCACCACATAAATAATTATGGAGATAAGAGATATTGATTTCAAATTAAACTTCCACAAAGAAAAAAAACTTTCCTAGCAATGTATAGCGCTGCTCACTTCAGTAACCAGGATTAATCTGTGTTATCTGTTTTGAACGGTCGTTCTCTGGGAATAACACACCGCTGGATGGTGCGATTGACCAATCAGAATCAAGTATTCCACAGAGCCTTGTAATAAAGTAGAATAACTTGCTGTAGCATTGTTTTTTGGAGAAAACTTAGACTGGTTCCTAAATATCTGCAAACATATTATGGTATTTTATGGTACTGTAGTAACCTTAAAAAAGTTACACATAGCACCTTTAAAAGGACCATCAAAATAAAGTGATTTTTTTCCACAAAAGGGCATTGACAATTTTCAACTTTCAGTTACCTGATTATCAATATAATAATATATAATGTATTGGAATCTGTATTAGTCTATATGGTTTTATATATGGATGCATCGATTTGGGCCCTTTTGGCCGATAATGATAGTGATACCAGTTTAGTTCATTTTAGTTTTATTTTAAACATGCGTGAAATTAATGTATCCTTTAATATTTTATAATCTTATAATTCATAATAATTCATTAGATTGTAATGAAAAAATATGTAATAATTTACATGTTAATATTTAATATAATCTTTCATTATAATCATAGAAATCTTTTTAATGCCAATTTGAGATAATTGTTTTGTGTTATAGCTGTTAAAAAAATTAATTAAAAAACTGCTATGCGAGAAGTAACTCATTATCCCTTCCAATGAACTCAAGGTAATAGTTTTTGTTCAACAATAGTAATTACATCTCAATAGGAATCACATTGCAATTAAAATCACATCAGAATATAAAAGACAACCATTCACAAACACATGCAGACATTAATTTTACCTCTTATCTCAAGCTCTCTGTTATCATCTAAGAACAGGAACTTTTGGAGAGGAAACCTGGAAAACCTGTGGTAGAGAGACAGAAAGAGAGAATGAGAAAACTGTACATGTAAGCATTTTTGTCTTTTTTTTTCTTTTTTGAGGGAAAAAAAAACATTGAGAAGTATATATTTCTGTATAAGTACACAATGCAACACTCATTGAGATATAATATGCCAGGTAAGAATACAAGAATTAAAAGGGATAGTTTCATAACTCAGCCATCAAGTTGTTTCAAACCTTCAAACCAGTTGTTTCTATTTTGAAGAATGTTGATGATCCCCCATCGACTTTTATAGATTTTTTTTTATCCTACTATGAAAGTCAATGGGGCCCATCAACCATCAGGTTATCAACATTCTTCAAAATATCTTCTTTTGTGTCCAGCAGAAGAAAGAAATTCATACAGGTTTTTTTTTTAACAACTTGAGTAAATGAGTAACAGAATTTAACTTTTTGGGTGAAATATCCCTTTAAGGTCAGCAAAACTGTTACTTCCTCTCAGTCTGTTGTTCTTTCCTCAGAGGGAAAGAAATTCTGAGAGAGAAAGAGAGAGAGAGAGAAAGAGGAATATGTCTCCACTGACAGTTGAAATGTTAAATGTGAAGCATTAAATCTTGATCTGGGTACATTCACGCTGTACAATGGGGAAACTAAAGAAAACCACATTCTCTGGACAGAGAATAATCAACTGATTGGATAACTAATCATTCAAAATGAACACTCATATTGAATGCCAAATGTAGTTATTGTATACAAAAAAACAAAAAACAAAAACAGCAGTGAGGATTTAGTGCATTCTGGAATTATGCCTGAAAATCGCCCGATTGTCTGCCGTGAACTAAGACTGCTTATCTCTTCTAAATCAAAAATATGAGCAGCTTCAGTCAGTTTTGGCTGTGTAATTTGTCTGCACTGCACAGTATGAGAGCATTGTTCAAACCTTGCCAAGCACCAATATTAAATGAAGTTGCTCGTCAGTTGGCTGATTTTTTTGTTTGAAACAGCATGGTTTAAATAATCTCATTGTAAGAATGAGTCTCAACCCTCTCTTATTTAAGAGACTTGACTCAAATGAAACAGTCTGTTGAAGAAAACACATGTGCCTTGCCTTCTAACAGCTTCCTCCTCTGGGATGCCTTGAGTCATTTTTTCCTCTAGAATTCCTTGTGGCAAATAAATGAAAAGGAATACATTTGCAATGTGTCTTCTTCACGTTTTTGTGCAATTTCAAGCTTTTTTACGATGCCTCACACAAACGACCTGCGCGGTTTGTCACTCAATGAAATTTGTGTGCAGTTCTATACAACATTTGTTCACAATTCACTATGGAAAAGATCAGCCAAAACACTCTATCTTTAAAGATCTGTGCCTTTTACCCCAGAAAAAATACAATGTTTTGATAAACAGCTATTGACAACTGCATCGACACTTATCCCTTTCGACACAAGCGTGAAACCCAGAGGTTCAAATTCTTGCCCATTTTCAACACAACTGACTTTTAGAAAGCCAGCCAGGATTAAACCCCATGGGGAGGATTATGTAATCTCACAGAGAAATTCTCTCTTGACAGAGGCCATGATAAGAAGGAATCCATGTAGAAAACCATGCGTGGCAGATGTTAAGGAGGCGAGGAGGGGAAATTTGTGCGTGATCTGATGTGATAGCGATGAGAGAGGAAGACAAAGATAAACATTTGTGAGTGAGTGCATGTGAGGAGGGACAGATAATACAAACACTGCTTTAGATGGCAAAGAGGCATTTGTAAGCAGTTTCATATGGTGAGTGGCGACAAGTTTATACAAAGTGAACTGTCACACACATCAACAAAAAAACACTCATCCCACATTTACAGCAGCTGGAAGGGCCGATGGGAAACTTCCTATCAACTTCCTATCAAAGGCAACCCAGAAGCTGTCACATCACTCACAGCGACACTGCACAAATACTTTCAAGCTGATATCTAAAAGAGCATTCCTCGCTCTATCACACTCTTCCATCCCTCCAGCTAAAAAGGCTAATATGAAGAAGAAACACCAAATGATTCCCGCACCATTTCCACACTGACTAGCACTCGCTATGCAACAACAACAATAATATAATATAATAATAGAGAGAGAGAGATTTGTGCTTGCCTCTGTTCAGCGTCTCTCCATTAACAACGAAGTTGTGAGTTGAATTACTTTAAAATAGCAATGTAACCCTCTCGTTGCTGAGAAATATAATGTATAATGCACTTCAATGAAAAACAGAGCATTAATATAGAAAGTGATTAAACTTCATCCTACCAAACAATCAAAAGTGGTAAGCTACTTGTCTTGAACTATTGAATCTATAGTCTCTCATTTAGAAAGAGAAGCATTATGAGAATAAGCAAACTGAAAGCCTCAGTCTCACAGCCCTCCATTCAGTGATGCCAGGCGTATGATAATTTTGACCAATAATGAAAAAAAAAAAATCCCATAATATACTATCGTTTCTGAATTTTGTGACGCTTCAATCGGAAGTCATTGTAATCATAGTGCTTTTATACTCATTGATCAAGCTGTGGATCTACATCATGATTGTGAGGAGAAAGTAAATGTGAGAGAGCACGGCAGAGAGGGAGAGAGTGAGAGACCTTCCGTGTGTGCGTCATGAAAGCTACACCCCCCGTCAACAATCCGGTCAACCAGTTTATTTACTGGTTACAATTAATAATACTATTTGGAACAGAATATGTGTCTGTTTGTGGGTGTTTGGTATCATTAGTCTAAATCCTGATTAAAAGGACAGCCTATCTGAGTGCGCACAGAAAGTGACTCATGTCTGTGTGAGAGCTGATGAATGTGTGTGTGTGTGTGTGTTTGCATAACATCTGCCATTGCATATCTGATCAAGTTAGACAAACCCTCCAGAGAGGCCCTCATGACATCTATAAATACCTTGGTCCCTAAAATACCCTAAAACAATATACAACCAAGATTATTTCCAAGATTGAAAAGAAAAAGTCAGAAAATCATAATCAACAAACAGGAATTAATATGTCACGCATCTTAATCTGTTAGAAGATAATACCAGCATCAAACTTCCTGTGCAGGTAACAATAGCAGCCGACTCAACCGCTGTAATCGCCACGCCTACCACTAACCTCCGGTTGCCATGACGATGAAGCACTTGTGAAAGGTGCATTAGGCCTAGAGGCTATCAGCAGGTTTCACTTACTCGCCAAGAAAACAACACACACACACACACACACACACACACAAACATGAACACTTACAGACTATTTGTTTATTTTAGGATGAGCATGAAAAAAGACATAAGTTTGAATGAATCCTCTCTGATTACCTGCACCACATGTCCATTAGCACAACGTATGGGATCAAATGCTTGGAGCCGCTATGAGTGGGATGGATGGATGGATGGATGGTGGGAAAATGAGGGAGTACATGGAAGTCCAAAGTTGAAGGTGACCAGACGCACACACAACATATCGTACGCAGTATGAATAGCTTGTAGTGTTCTGTGAAGTGGATACATTAGCTGAAGCATTAAAGCACAACACAAACACACAAAGCAACAGATTAATTCTGTAAAGACTCTGTAGATCTGATCAGTATGAGGAATTTGCATATAATAATTAATAATTGATAATTAATAATTATTTATACAGGTTTGGATCAGATCAGCCTTACATGTTATTAAATCTCCTGATAAGGGATAATATATAAATTACCTGCATCTGCATGTGTATCTTGGTAATTAACCACAAGTTGATTGCAATTAATTAGATAGATCATGTTTAACAGACAGGTTAAAATTAGCTCACTTGTTAAAGCTTTAATCGACGAGAATACTTTTTGTGCGAAAAAACAAACCAAAATAACGACATGCAACGCATGCGCGAGAACTGAACTGAAGTTGTTGCAGAAAATTGCAATTCTCACGCAGGCGTCGTGGAAATCTCTTGAACTCTCGTCTCAGGCCTTTAAGGAAGAAACGTAATAGACGTTATTTTTGTTTGTTTTTTCCGCACAAAAAGTATTAGTGTCACTTGATAAACTTATACTTGAGCCATATGGTCACATGGAATATTTAAACATTTTTTAATGACTTTCTGAACCGTCAAGTTTCGATCCCTTAGGCAGCCTATGTAGCAGTGATCCACCTCTCAAATTGAATCAAAAATATCTTCATTTGTGTTCCGAAGATGAACAAAGGTCTTATGGGGTTGGTACAGCATGGGAGTGAGTAATTAATAACTTAATTTTCATTTTTGGGTGAACAATCCCTTTAAGTTTGCCACATCATAACTTTTGAACAAAGATGAATAAAGAAATTTTACACTCATTTCTGTCCGGCTCAGTCCAAAGATCATTTGAGCAAATTTTGGATAAAATTTGACAAATTTTGAAGGAGGAATAGCAAAAAAATGGAATACTGTACTTTTCAAAATGGCCACTATTGCAATGGGTGGAGTCTTAATGTAAGATATTGAATGTAATCAGCATGAAGAGTGGAATTAGGTGTACTAAGTTTCATTTTTATAGATCAAATGGTTCAAAAGTTATAACCTTTAGAAGATTGAATTTTTGAACTGGTGGTGGCGCTATAGAGTTGCTCCTAGAGATTTCAAAATTGGTCCAATTACTTTTCATGACCATCTCAACAATTGCGCCAAATTTCATAATTTTCCTACTTAACACTTCTTAGAGCTGCAATTGACTCCCATTTGAGAAAAATAAAAATAAACCAACAGATACAATAGGGGCTATTCCCTTCGGGGCTTAGCCCCTAGTAAGGCCAAAATGGGGAAATTATTTGTCTAATGTTTGATTAATGACTATATAGCTAAGCAATGTTATTCAGAGCTTTGTTGACTACTTATTCCATTGAACTGTTCCCCAGTCCATCTGTAATGCTTTAAAGAGAATTTGTACAATACGGCTCTCTTGGGCCCTATTAAGACCAAGGCCGAAGTGACTTTAATAGGGATGTTCATTCATTCAATTAGTCAAGCGAATGGATTGTTTTCTTGGGACTAG